AAACACAAACCGATAAAAAAACCTGCCATATACGTTATCGAGTGTATCGACTTTCGCATTTTTCGCAAAAAGTGACAACCATCCTGATCGGATTATTAAGAAGTGAAAAAAATAGATAGAGACAACTTTGGGGCAACGCATAGGTAATTACTCAAATGGTCGAGATAAACGTGGTTGCGTTGTCACCTCGCTTCTCTAGCTGAGTGTGCCAACTGTACTTCTCGTGATCCCCTACGATGTGATAGGTTGTCACGATGAATAACTTATCTTCCCTAACGGGATGACACCACCCTTAGGGGTACATCCATACTGAGCTATTGACTCACATCTGAAAGTTTTTATATGCAATCGCAGAGGTAGGTTAGTCGATGACGTTTTATTCATCTCGCTGCAATATAGGTACGCTTTGTTAAAACGTCGTCTGAACCCGGACATCATTCATTTTTTACTTGTATTGTGATGTAGCTTTACGAATTTGATTTTATGCTCGAATTGTTCGGCCTGATCCTACAAAGGAGCACCCATTTGTTATCCTTTGATAACAACTCGGTTTACGACACAACTTATCTGCGTTTGCATCTCAACCTAAGACATTAGTCTTGTGGGTTTTTCATCTTTCTTGGGATTTTCACCCTAATTTTTTAATGAATGACCATTTCAAAAGACTAAGTATCTTTGTTGTGGGACACTAAAAATTTGTTGGGGCTTATGTGCATAAGGCAAGGTATGAGTTGCAGAGGACAGTAATGTTTACTGCCTTAGTGTGTGTAATGTTGTTGTTTAAACTCTGTATAACCGCAGATATTTTTGCAAGATTCTGAATTGAGTCTTGATGATTGTCTGTGTGTTGCGTGAATGCTGATGGACAAGACACATCATTTTTGTGAGAGTGATCGTTTAAATACCACAAAAGTTTTTTGTCTGAATGATTGAACCACTATACTTTCACGTAGTCATTATGGCCAAGATAACGTACGCATGAATAATTCACATGATACTCTTGACAATGCATATGCTTGATTTTTGCTATTTAAATTAATTGGTTGGATGTTGACCCTGAACCTGAAATTTGAGGTCCGTGTCCAAGATATTCCAAGTTGCATCTTAGCGCAAAAGGGTTCCCCTTATGCGCTGAACATTCGCGCCCCGCTCTTTATGATGCTTCGACAGAGGCGCCGCGAGGGTTGAACGACTTATCCTTCAACCGTTCAATATCGTGAAGAAAATTATCTTCACGACCTTTCATCTCTGACACTTGACTATCGTGCGCAACGCTAAAGCCTGCAAAGGGTCTAGTGATTGTGAGTAACGCGTGCAGTGTCACCATGACAGTTGGTTGCGAGAGTTCGGATATCTAAGTATTATAATTTCGTTGGCACGTGTGGACTACTTCTGAAGTCACGCGTGGAATAAGTTATGGGTCGAAACACTCGCAAACAGACGACGCGCGACTTGACCATTTCCTTGCGTATGATTGTCATAGTAGGCACACACACGTGTTTTGTATACGCCAAGCTTGTGTACGATAATTTTATTTTCCTTGTTTAAAAGTTGTCTTGTTGGAACGATAGGGTTCTCGGTATAAGAGTTAGCGTGTTGTTAGTGGTGCGCCATACAACTCACCACCACTCCAAGTTTTCTTCTACCTCCAATGCCATCCTACCCTACTCTTATTGGGGCAAAGCAGAGTGCAAAAGATAGCAGAGTGCTCGGTCCGTTTCTGCGCTTGCTAAAGGATTGACCCTTTAGTGCTCGCTTCAGCTGACACCTGAACGTCGAATGCAATCCCGTGATTCAGAAGGGACCACACTTTTAAGGACACTACATAGTACTTCATCATCGCAACTGCTCACGTATTTGTGAATGACTAGTCATTATGATAGAAATATGCGAAGCGACGATTGTTTATGCGAAATCTTGCGCATGACATCTTTGCTCTTAAGCAAAAAAATAGTTACGGGTCAAGTGGATAAAAATACTAAACACGATATTGTAAATAGAGTCGAGTTATAGTTGAACAGTGTATCGCCTAGTAAAACTGGTCGTCCTAGTCGACTGACATAGGATCGCGTTTAAGAGATCAACGCATCGGGCGACGATTCGCACGAGGTTTGATTTGAGCATTAACCACGAGTACCCCCTATGCTACAACAAATGAGAAACGCCGTCGACTGTACCATCTCTGCGATTGCACATGAAAAACCCACGGGATGGTGATAATTCCCGCGTGTGAAGGTAAGTTGTGCCCCCCGTGACCCTATCCTGCCGTAGGGGTTCAGGAGAGGTACGACTGACATACTCGGATGGATCGACAAATGCTCTCCGCGACAAGTCCAGCAAAATCATGAGTGACGCAGCCGGGAGGGTTTCCTTGCGGGACGGATGCACACAACAAGCGTAACCTTAATGTGTTATGAACTTTTTCAATCATTGATACCTGCCCTTTCTACTTGGGTTAGTGCGCCGTCGCCCCCCCCAAAAAAATCCGCCTCCATAATGATGATCGAACGTTGAAAGCAGTTAGGTGTATATGGGCTGCAAACTGGTTCAATTGACTTACCGTATGGTACGTATGAGCAATCTGTAGTTTGTTTGTCGATGTGGTTGAGAAAGGGTAAGGTAGTGATTATGTTGTGTGTATGTTTTGTCATGTTCGCTATACACACCTTAAAGAGTGTGTGTGTGGGGGGGGTCCTGATTGATGCTTTATTCACGATGTTCATGGGACGCTGGACCTTGTTTCCAACAAATGATGTTCCCCACCAATAGACGTGAGAATATGTGTGTGCATATGTGCACGTGTGTATATGAGAGTGAGTGTGTGTGTGTGTGTGTGTGTGTGTGTGTGTGTGTGTGTGTGTGTGTGTGTGTGTGTGTGTGTGTGTGTGTGTGTGTGTGTGTGTG